AGATCGAAAAAAAAAAAAAAATTCTAGCCTGTTTGGTTCTCTGATGTTTGTTTTCACTTATTAAAAGAGAATTTTGGCCAGGTATGGTGGCGTACACCTTTAATCCCAGCACTCGGGAGGCAAAGGCAGGAGAATCTGTGAGTTCAAGGCCAGCCTGGTCTACATAGTGAGTTCCAGGACAGCTGGGGCTACAGGGAGACCCTGTCTCAAAAAGACCAAAAAAAACAAAAAAAAAAAAAAAAAAAAAAAAGAATTTTGGTAAATTGATAAGGTTATTTCCTTCTAAGAATCCCCTGGCATGTAAACTCCATTGCTCTCTTTGAGAAAAGTGTTCACCCACATTCATCAGTCTGTCTGTGGAGCATTTTTGCCGATTCCTCAGGGCCCACTTTAAATAGATATGGATTACAGTAGCACATAGCATGCTGCCTGAACCACAGATTTTATATCCACCATATAGTGCTGCCAATTAGATATGTGGAATTTTTTAAAATTTCTTTACATTTATTTATTTTGTGGGGTTTGGTGTACACATGCCAACGCATGTGAGTGGAGATTAGAGACCAACTTGTGGGAGTGAGCTCTGTCCATCATGTAGTGTATGGGGATTGAAAGTAGGTCATCAGGTTTGGCAGCAAGCACTTTTACCTGCAGAGCCATCTCACTGGCCCATATCTGGGGTCCTTGGCTTCAGTCGAACACATCTTTCTACCACTAGTCTAAATAACAAATATCTCTTATTCTAGGGGACCAAACTGGGAAGAAAGCTATAAGCACCAACTCAGAACTTTCTACCTTCAGATCAGATATTCTGGATCTTCGGCAACAACTTCAGGAGATTACAGAGAAAACCAGCAAGAACAAAGACACGCTGGAGAAGTTGCAGGCAAGTGGGGATGCACTGGTGGACAGGCAGAGTCAGCTGAAAGAAACTCTGGAGAATAATTCTTTCCTCATTACCACGGTAAACAAAACCCTCCAGGCATATAACGGCTATGTCACAAATCTACAACAAGATACCAGTGTGCTCCAGGGCAATCTGCAGAACCAAATGTATTCTCATAATGTGGTCATTATGAACCTCAACAACCTGAACCTGTCCCAGGTCCAGCAGAGGAACCTTATCACAAATCTCCAACGGTCTGTGGATGACACGAGCCAGGCCATCCAGCGAATCAAAAATGACTTCCAAAACCTGCAGCAGGTTTTCCTTCAAGCCAAGAAAGACACTGATTGGCTGAAGGAGAAAGTGCATAGCTTGCAGACATTGGCTGCCAACAACTCTGCCCTGGCCAAAGCCAACAATGACACCCTGGAGGATATGAACAGCCAGCTCAACTCCTTTACAGGTCAGATGGACAACATCACCACTATCTCACAAGTCAATGAGCAGAACTTGAAAGACCTTCAGGACTTACACAAAGATGCAGAGAATAAAACGGCCATCAAGTTCAGCCAACTGGAAGAACGCTTCCAGCTATTTGAGGCAGATATTGTGAACATCATTAGCAATATCAGCTACACAGCCCACCACCTGAGGACACTGACCAGCAACCTGAATGAAGTCAGGACCACTTGCACGGATACCCTAACCAGACACACAGATGACCTGACCTCCTTGAATAATACACTGGCCAATATCCGTTTGGATTCTGTTTCTCTTAGGATGCAACAAGATATGATGAGGTCAAGGTTAGACACTGAAGTGGCCAACTTATCAGTGATTATGGAAGAAATGAAGCTGGTGGACTCCAAGCATGGTCAGCTCATCAAGAATTTTACAATTCTACAAGGTAAGTACAAATTTTGTATTTGTGTTTATATTAATTATTGCTGCATAACAAATCATTCTAAAATATGGTGATAATTTAAAACAAAAGTATGTATTATCTCATAGTTTTTATGGATTGGGAATTCAGAAGCAGCTTCATAGATTGGTCCTGGCTCAGGGTTTTCTTGTGAGGTTGCAGTCATCTGAAAGATTGACTGGGGTGGCTTGCTCACATGGCTCTCAACAGGAGGCCACAGTTCCACACTATGTGGATCTGAGTGATGTCACAATGTTGTAGCTCGCTGACTAGAATAAGTGACCCAACAGAAAGAGCAAAACAAAAGCCACTGTGCCCTTTACGACTTCACCTCAGAGGCCACACACTGTTGTCAGCAGTGTGAGTCTATAATCCCGCATTTGGGAAGCTAAAGCAGGAAGAGTCCAAGTTCAAGGCCAGTCTGGGCAACATACTAAGATACTTTTTTTAAGTTGGATGCCTGTAATCCAAGCACTAGGGAGGCAAAGACATGAGGATCAAGAATTGAAGGTTATTCTTGGTCACAAGAGTTTGAAGCTAGCCTGGGCTACTAACACCTTGTCAAACTCTAAGCACATTTCTTCCTTTAGAAATAAGTCACCAGGTGCAAGAAAACCAAGCTCTACATGTGGAAAAGTAGTGTAAAAATGCCCAATTGATTAGTTATTGGATTAAAGATTGGTTAATGTAGATTTTTCTCAGTACCTGAGCTGTTACTATGCCAACATTTGTTGAGGTCCTCTGAAAGCAGATTAATTTGTCTAGGTCACAAAGATACCATTAAGGGGTTCCTGTTTATAAGCATCATGAGTAGGTAGATGGTTGGCCATCACAGTAACTATAGGGCCACAGAAGATAGAAATTATATAACTAGCAAGAAACCATAAGTTTTATTGTTATCCAGGGTACCCATGTGTATGGCAAGTCCTTGGATCAGATTCAGTCTACTTTTTAAGATTTGCAGCAGTCATATAGTAACTTTATTTTCTGATCATAAACTGCCATCATGGGTTTTAAGGTAAAAGTATCATACAGAGAATTCTAAGCTCAGCTATCTGGGTTCATACCATGAAGGCCAGGTGGTCCCTACCTTTGAGTAGCTTAAAATCAAGAGAATTTTAGGGCATCCAAAAGTAGGGAAAAATAACTGTTGTCCTGATTTTCAAAAATGGACTAATTGTGCATTCTATACACTGTATGGAGTAGAGAATTTGATTTTAAGCCTGAGAAAGATTTAAGAAGAAGTTATAGAAAGATAATTTGTGACCCTGTACAGGAAAGCTGTAATCACAGTCAATTCATTAAGAAGGTGGCTGGTAATCCTGATCTTACTTCCTTATACTGAATTTCACCAAGGCACTAAGAACAATGTAGAAAAATAGTTGGATTGCAACACAATTGGGTGGATATATGATTATACTAGTGTTCTGTGTTGCACATGTAGGTAAAGCCAAGACACATTTTCATGTTTCCTGTGGCCTGGGTCCTGGTAACACTTAGGGGGTTCTTGTGTTACCAGGCTGCTGGCTCCTCGAATTGTGGCTTCATCAGAAGCTGGTCTTGGGAGATGCACATTTCCATGTTGCTTCAGGCTCTTGAACCTAAGACAGAGTTTCCTGATTTCTTTCTGGTTATCATCTGAGGACTACCCTCAGCTCTTAGAGGCTGCTCAGTTCCTGGTCAGGCAGCCATGTCACAATATCACAGCTTCCGCAGAGCCAGTAAGGAGCCTTTCTCACTCGAGGCTGCTAAAATGGAGTCTCGAACAGTATGACTTACCAAGGAAGCAACTTGTCATCACTTTTGCTATATATTATTGGTTAGAAGCAAGTCCCAGTTTCACACTCAAGAAGGGATCTCCCAAGGTCCTGAGTCATTGGGGATCACCCTAAGGAGTGTCTGACACATTAGTTGAATGATCAACTATAAAGAGCACCTGTAAGCCTGAAGTTCAGTGATTTTTTTTCAGTGAGGGTTAGATGACCCAATGATAAATCTAATCCTTATGTGATACACAAAACTTGCATGGTAAGGGGCTGGAGAGATGGCTCAGCGGTTAAGAGCACTGACTGCTCTTGCAGAGGACCCAGGTTCAATTCCTAGCACCCACATGGCAGCTATGAACCATCATTAACTCCAGTTCCAGGGGAATCCGAAGCCCTCTTCTGACCTCCGCAGCATTGCATGACATGGGTGCACTCACATACTTGCAGGCAACACACTCATACACATAAAATAAAAATAATAAATAAATTTTTAAACACTTACATAGTGAATAAAAGGTGATAGAATCATCTGGAATCTGATGGGCAGAAATAGTAGCAAGATGCTGGCCAGATGGAATAGGTAAGGGATGCATATAAGATCCTGCTCAGAAGTAGGCGAGACTAAGAAGATCTCTTTTCTTTCTAAGGCAGGGTCCCACTGTATCTCTCAGGCAAGTCTTAAGCTTGAAATCCTCCTGTCCCAGCCTTTTGAGTGCAGGGACTGCATATGTTCCCTCACTAACTAGCTGTGTCCAGTTGCCTCCAGAACAGCAGTCCCCAGCAGGTATTTCAAGAGAACAAGCTGAGAGAAGCATCCCACTTCTGGATGCAAGTGCTTCCTTCTATCCTTCCTCTGTCCCTGCACACAGCTCATCCCTACGACAGCAGAATGAGTGATAAAGCAGGATGGATTAATGTTGGCCTCAGTGGGCCTTTCCTCTGTAAGATTCCAAAATACTCTGGTGCTTTCCAGGAAATTCTTGTTAACTTGCATGTAATGAGACCATGTACTGATAGCTTGGTCATCTAAGACAGTTGCCTTATTAAGAAGTGGAAACCAAAATGGTGCATACCTGTAATCCCAGCGCTCAAGAGACCGAGGCTGTAACATTATTAGCTTAGGCTATTTAGGAAGACCCTATCTAAAAAAAAATAATAAATTTAATCTGAAGCTGCACTTAAGTCAGATGATAAAGTATAACTAGATGGTCACGTGATAAACCCAGGCAGTAGTCATCTGTGTACCCATCACCAAAAACCTAAGTATTTACTCAGAGGATCTCTAGTGTATACTACTAGATGTGCTGGAAGCCTGACCAAGTTCATCACCCTCCCAGAGCCTGATCCCTCATCTGTGCACCTTTCTGTGGTGCCATGAGGTAAATAGTTTGCTCCACCATCTGCTCCCAGCCATGTTGTGCTGCCTTGCTGCAGGCCCAAGGCAATAGATCCAGTCAATCATGAACCAAACTCTTCAAAACCAGGAGCTAAAATAAACATTTCTTTTTTAAGTTAATTATTTTAGGCATTTTGCTACAATAACAGAAAGTTAACATATAAGTGGTAAGTTTAGTTCATTGCTGTCAAAGATTTTTTTACAGTAAGAAAACTGAATTTGATTGTGTCTTTTTTTATTTACCTTACATTAGAATTCTTTGTTGTTTTTAATACAGGGTCTCCCTATAGCCCCAACTGGCCTGGAACTCACTATGTAGACCAGGCTGGCCTTGAACTCAGAGATCATCCGCCTGTCTTTGCCTCCTGAGTGCTACCATGCCCAGCATGAAACACAGTAGTAATACTGTGGCCTAGGCTACCTCAAATTTATGGCAATCCTCCTGCCTTAGCCTTCTGAATGCTGCCACTCAAAGCTCTTACCATCAAGTCCAATAACAGGCAAAGCTAAAACTGTCTCTCTGCTTTCTGTTACAGAAGTTTTGTTGGAAAACACATTTAAAACTTGTTTTGGGTAGGAGACTGGCTGGGCACGTCTCAGTCTGGAGATCCAGTTGCCAAAGCATAAAAAGGACAGTGATGAAAAGTCTAGTGTCTGAGGGGTCTGTTCTGTACCTTAATGCTCTCAAAGCTAAGTCTAGGACATACAAGGCTGAGAGTGTAAACAGGACTGTTCAGAATCCTGCTGTTTGTTGTTTGGGAGGCAATTCTAGAGCTTGTGACAGCTTTACCAGCCACATGGACACCCTGACAATGCAGAATCCCAAGCCAGGGAACCAGCCACTTGGCTTGACTTTTAGTTACACTTCAAGCATTCTGAAAGCAGATCTCATGGTCATCCACGTGCTGCCACCCACGTGTGGCATTATAATGCTCTTGATTCTGAATTCAAATTGTTACTGCACAAGCTCATAAATACTCTGCCTCTGCCATTTCATTTGGGGGACTTGAGGGAAGGTAACCTTTTCTGTTAATTTTTGTTTATTTACTTGGTTGTGTATATGTGCACACACGGAGAGGCAGAAAACAACTTTCAGGAGTGGGTTCTTGCCTTCCATCTCATTGAGACAGGGTCTCTCCTTGTTTCTGTTGTTGTGCTACATACTCCAGGCTAGGTGGCCCATGACAGACCATTCTCCTGTCTCCACCTCCCACCTCACTATAGGAGTGTCGTGATTACAGATGTGCATCACTGCATGCATATGGCTTTTTACATAGGTTCTAGGGCTTGAATTTGGGTCATCACGCTTGCACAGCTATTGCCTTTACCTGCTGAGCCATCTCCTCAGACCATTATTTGATTTTATTTTTTACTTTGATAGTCACCCAATAAAAGACTAAAGTAAGACTGAGTGCCCTGAGATAATCCAGAGGCTACTGAGGGATACCTGCATTTCAGATTCTGCATCTCGGGTCCTAGAGGAGAACATACCTGGGTCCAGTGCTGGCTTTGAAAATGGCTCTGGTTCTTTTTATCAGTGATTTTTTTTTTTAAACAAGAATAGTAAACTTCCAGCTTGACTAGTCTAGTGAGCAAAGTTCATTGCATGCATGCCCTCACCTAGGAGACACACATCTTCGTGAAACCCAGCCTCTGGGACTACTTTTATGCAGTTTTTGTAAAGCTGGTGGCAGCTGAGTGAAGATATCAGTAATTGTGTGCCTGTCTGTTTATGCATAGCCTAATCTTATTAAGAGACAGATGACTTATATGTGTGGGGATTCGTAATGCTTTACATGCAAAGATTTGATTTTTATACTAATCCATCTGGGAACCCATTGAATTTAGATTTTAGATTTTTTTTTAAGGCAAAAATTTGCATCGCACGAATGCACACACAAACCTACTCCACTCCATTGTAAGATCTAGAAATTAGCATCTGCTGGTGTTTTTTTACTGGCTTTGGGATCCATGTTTGATAACATTCTGCAAATAAATCACAGCATCTATACATACTGGATGAGGCCATTTCCAGTTGAAAGAAGCATATCTAGACCTCATCAACTACTGTACCCAGAAATATTAAGTAGTAAAAAGCTGTCACCCCAAGTGAGGGAGATCTTAGATTTAGGCTGGAAGAAGAAGGGGGAGCTGTGTATTTTGGGAATTCTGGGAGGCCAGCAGAAGGTGTTCTGGAAGAAATCCAACTCTTGCCACAGGAGCAGAGATAAGCCCTGAAGAGTCACTATTTCATAGTTGCAGATAAACTCACTTCCTGCAACTTGTAAGTATAGCACCAAGCCCTAGTTTGAGCAGGCAAGAAAGCAGTAATTGGGGGGGGAAACCTTATCAAATAAAAAATTACTTAAACACTTTTTAAAAATTTTTTATTTAATAACCACATGATTAGAAGAAGCATTTCATTACAGCTTTAACATATTCAGTAACAATTTCCAGAGCAAGGATACATCTCTCTCAAAAGTGGCTATAAATTTTTAGTTTCACAGTTGAATTAATAGTTATACAACATTGAACTCAGTATAGACCCTGTAAGACATAAAATTGAATGAGTTTTTAACCTTTAAAAAAGATCTCCATTTCATTTTAAAATATGCTGTTTCCTAAAGACTCATTTTTAATGCTACTAATGCTTAGATGTTTCACATGTGTCTCTAATCTCTACGTATCTGATTATTACTAGTCACAGTCGGTTACACTCAGATCCTTGGCACCTGAGTATGGATATAAAGTCATGAGGTAGATTTCAATGGTAATGTTTATCACCTCTACTAATTAGCATAAAGTAAATTTTTATGCTTCCTCCTCAAATGTAAGTCCTTTTTTATTTGTTGATTTTGTGTGCACATCATACAGAACATCCCATACAATCTTACTCATCTATATACCCACTTCCCAAATGGCACCCTCCCATAGCCTCCCTCCACCCCCACTGGAGCCCATATACTTTGTCATCCCTGTTACTGTCCACTTAAACTTTTTTTTTTTTTTTTTGAGGCAGGGTGTCCCTGTAGCCCCAGCTGGCCTGGAACTCACTATGTAGATCAGGCTGGCCTTGAACTCATAGTGCTAGGATTAAAGGCATGCACCACCATGCCCGACTTAACAATTAGATTTTCTAACATCTTTATGATTTGAATTTCCTGAGGGTTAGCACATACTATAAATGAAACAGTTGAGAAGGTATTTTGATTTGGCTATTGTTAGTAATTTTTTCACTAGAACTTTGCATAATACTATATCCATCATAAGGGACCTTACATGGCACCCTCCCCAGTATTAGCCTCCAGGATACTATTTTGCAGTTACACAAAGACACTAACTTACTTTAAGGAGATACACCTTTCAGCAAAAGTCCTTCTCCTTCCCTATTTATTGTTCCTAAATGGCACAAGCTGGGTAATGAGCTTTCTCAGGTTACAAATGAGGCCAATGGAAACATTCTTAAGTATCTGCAGACTCAGGAAAGATAGATCTTCCCATAACCGTTCCATAGATGCACCCTGGGTCCACCCAACACAGACTGGGAAGAACACCTCTTAGAATAAGGTGAACACAAAGCAGGTCACTGTTTCCCAGAAATCTCTTGCTTCTGATGTCTCCTGACACCTAAAACATTGGCATTAGAGTGATGGACTTTTAACAGTGAGGCATGTGCATCTGATAAGCAATCCAGAATAAGACTGCCAGAGAAGGTGAAGTGCAGGTGGGCTCAGTAGGCCAAACAAAGACTGAAATATGAGAAACGAATTCTGTTTGGAGTGACCTGGGAGGATGTCATGTGGTTGGATGGGTATTTCACAGATGCATCAGCAGAGGGAATGCTAAGAGGTGTAAGAAGATTCAGAGGAGATCAGGTCATGAAGAGTTTTGATGCAAGTAGGGCCTGAATGTTCTTGACATGATTATGTAACAATTCTTTGAAAACTGTCACTCACTATGCAAATCTTGGTTGTGAAATACATATGTGAAGTCTATGTTAGCCCTGAGAAATTCAAGAAAACAAGACAGCTCTATATGAAGAGAGTATATGTGTGACAGGAAAGAGTAAACCTTTACCTTTCTTCTCAGTCATGCCTTTTTTAGAAGGACTATGTACTTTTGTCCTCCAGCCACTGTATTGTACTATTAAGACTTAAATCAGCCCAGTCCAGAGAGTTTGGGCACCTCTAACCAGCTTTCCCCTATCCCTCTGAGCTGGTCCATAGGTAGATAAGACCCAGAACTAAGAACAGCAGCACTGGAGAGAAACTTGGTGAAAAGCACAGGAATGCAGTATAGGATGAGATGGGAAGGCAGGGCTTGGTTGTTGCAAAAGAACTAATAGATCAATGCTTCTCAACACTTGATGTAATTTCAAGTCTAATTCAACTCTACAACTCTTTACCTGGTGCTTGTCATATAAAAGGATATAAATAAGGGAATTCTGATCCCACTGTGCACAACTTTTCTGTTGGTGACAAACCCACTACTGCCAATGTCAACATGGATTCTATCAACAAACATCATTGAGCTGCATTGGAAATGCTGTGGACAGGAAGGCTGGGCTTATTGAAAAGAAAAATAAGCTGAATCACTATTGTATTGCTTTGCAGACTTAAACCGGCTGAAACAACAGAAATGTCTTTCCACATAGTTCAGAGGTTGGAAGTCACGGTCTTGGCGGGTCTTGTTGGTTTCTTCCAGAATCTCTGTCCTTAGCTTGCAGATGACTATCTCCCTGTGTCTTCACCTGGTCCTCTCCTTCTGTGTCAGAGTTTTAATCTTTTTCTATGTGTGTACATATGCACGCCTGTGATATATGCACATGTGTGTGGGTGTGCATGCCCATGTAAATGTGGAGGCCAAAAGAGGACACTGGGTGTCCTGTTCTATTACTTTCTGCCTTACTCCTTTGAGACAGGGTCTCTCACTGATCCTGGAGCTAGGCTGGCATCCAGCAAGCCTCAGCAATCCTCCTATCCCCACCCACCACAGTACTGGTGTTAACAGGCCTGTGCATAGCCACACCCAGCTTTTTTCATGGGTTCTGGGGATTTGAATTCAGGTTCTCATGCTTGTAAAGCAAGGGCTCTTATCCACCCCTTATCTTTTCTTGTAAGACCACATACTGGCTGAAAGCCCAAAGAAAATAACCTTATTTTAGCTTAATTACCTCTTATTTTAAATGTAAGTGTTTTGCCTGCAGGTATGTAAGTGCACTAGTATAATGCAGTGCCCACAGAACCCAGAAGAGGGCATCAGATCCCCTGGAACTAGAGTTAAGGATGGCTGTTAGGCACCATGTAGGTGCAGGGAATCGAACCCAGGTCCTCTGCAATAGCAGCCAATGCTATTAACTAACCTCTGAGCCATCTCTCTAGCCCGCAAGATTAATTAGCTTTTTAAAGCCCTTATGTTCAGGCTGGGCTGGTGTACACACCTGTAATCCCAGCATTCAGGAGGGCTGAAGCAGGAAGATGACAATTCCAAGGTCAACAAACACTGTATAGAAAGAATTTGCCTCCAAAAATAATAAAGTAATAATAAATGACCTTATCTCCAAATAGTCACATTCTTAGGTATTGGGAGTTAGGACTTCAACATATAAATTTGGAGGGAAATAATTCAGCCTGCAATAGCAGCCACAAATACCATGATAAATGGATAAGCATTCCTTAATGTCTCTCTCTTGTGTTCCACAATTTTTTTTAAATTGTAGGTTATATAAGAAGATACACTCTGTACACATTGCCCTCACAATGGGACATGTCATTTACTGGTTTTTTTTTTTTCTGTTTTAGGTCCTCCTGGCCCCAGGGGTCCAAAAGGTGACAGAGGATCTCAGGGGGTCCCTGGTCCAACTGGCAACAAAGGACAGAAAGGAGAGAAGGGAGAGCCTGGCCCACCTGGCCCTGCTGGTGAGAGAGGCCCAGTTGGACCAGTAGGCCCCCCTGGAGAGCGCGGTAGCAAAGGCTCCAAAGGCTCACAGGGCCCCAAAGGGTCCCGTGGGTCCCCAGGGAAGCCTGGCCCTCAGGGCCCCAGTGGGGACCCAGGTGCACCAGGCCCAACAGGCAAGGATGGACTTCCGGGCCCTCAGGGCCCTCCTGGCTTTCAAGGACTGCAGGGCACTGTGGGTGAGCCTGGAGTACCTGGACCTCGGGGGCTACCAGGCTTGCCAGGCGTGCCAGGCATGCCTGGACCCAAGGGACCACCTGGCCCCCCAGGCCCATCAGGAGCAGTGGAGCCTTTGGCTTTGCAGAACGAGCCAACCCTAGCACCAGAAGCCAATGGTAAGTCCAAGACCGCCTTCCAACCGGGGTTGGGGAGGCAGGGCTGTGTTTGTGCTCACAGCTAAACCAACCCCAGCATGAGTTCCCCTAATTTGACTTAGCAGAAGGCTAAGCTCCCATGATGCTTCAACATCATCACCCAGGCCCCTGTGTTTGTGTGCAAACATCATCAGTTTCTGACACTTGTTCTTTTAGGTCAATCAGGCCCTCAGAAGACAAATGCACTCCAAACACTGCCTTCAAAACATCCTGTACTGGCCACCTTATCCTTGTTTTATTCCTTTCTCTCTAGGAACAGACAATTCTCTCAGTTAACTCCATCAGTATACAGGTGGAATTTCTGTGACCATGTCCAGATTTTCTTTGAAAAAGGGTCATGGTGCCTTTGTGTCTCCTTGACAAGTAAATTTTTAACAAGACTTCTTATTGCTTAGCAACCAAGCAACAGAGGCTAGGTTCCACATGGTTCCTTCAGTGAGACCTGGGTTCTCACATGCAGTTGTTTATAGACTCCAGCTGATCCAAGATGAACAACAAACATCAGTGCCTGCCCTGTACTCATTTCTGTTGTTACTATAAAGCCTGATCCAGGTACAGAGGCACAAAGACCCAGCCACACTCTTTCCAGACTGTGCAGTTTTCTCTACTGTGCGCTCTGCAGTCCACGCTTGTGAACATCAGCCACCAGTTTGGCATAGGGCCACTCAAGCTGCCACTGGTATGCCAAGTGACACTTTTGCCTCTTACACATAGCTGAGGAAATGAAGAGACCTTTCTGTGTGTTTTAAATCAACATTTAAAACTTTGCATCCCTAGGCTGTCCACCTCGATGGAAGAACTTCACAGACAAATGTTACTATTTTTCGGTGGAAAAAGAAATTTTTGAGGATGCAAAGCTTTTCTGTGAAGACAAGTCTTCACATCTTGTTTTTATAAACTCAAGAGAGGAACAGGTATGTCAGTCACCTGATTGGGGAAAGCTGTAATTTAAAGCTGGAAATTGCATGCTTTCTGGGGAGTCAAAGAGATCAAAAATTCATAGTCTCATAAATATGGAAGGCTGCAGTTTGCAGGCTTGGTTTATCCAGGGACTAGAGCTTTGGCACGCTGTCCTCTTGCTTCTGTAGGCAATGGTTCTGTAGCTCCACCTGGTGGTTTTTTGGAGAATTGCAGCACAGCAGAGAATTGGGAGGGGTTGCTACTTGACAAAAAGAGGCAGTTGTGAGCACAGTAGTTGGAGGTCAGGTGCCACCAACCAGACTTGTTGACCCCAGAGGAGTCAGGAAAGCTGGGATGGCATGTGTGGCAATGACGCTGACCATTCACTGGGCCCCTATCATGTGCAAGGCCATTTCTTACACCCTCACAGCCTTGGAATGTAGGTCTAAAAAAATCACCATTTCCTCCCCACCCCACCCCCACTTTTTTTTTTTTCTAAACACAAGTCTTGCTATGAGTCCCAGCTGGTCTAGAATTTGCAACTTAAACCAGGCTGGCCTAGATCTGCAGCTGTCATCCTGCCTTTGTCTCCCAAGGACTGGGTTTACATGCATGTGCCAGTCCTTTCATTCCCCCATTTCACAGATGATGTATTCCCACAAGATGAAAAAGAAATGCAGAGTTGAGACCTGACTGGTGACAGTGTTCTTCCTTCAGTTTCAGTGGTCTCCTTCCTTTTCCCTAAGTGTCTCCACCAGACACAGCCCTGAAATCTGGTTTCCTGTAGTAACTGACCAGAAAGCATTAAAAAAGGAGCCATCAAGTACCTGGGCTCAAACCATGCTCAGCTCCTTGCCATCTTCGGTTCCTCAGTTGTGGTGGAGGCATACCACGTGGGACCCAGCCCAAGGAAAAGCTCAATATCACCATCAGTCTTCCAGCATTAGAACACAAGAAGGGTAGCTGGGAAATGGGACCTGCGGAATTCTCTGAGCTGCCCTGACCAAGAAAGAGCATTGCTTCATCACTTATAAACTTGTGAGAGGAAAAAGGTTGAAGCCCCTGACAGTGTCCCTTTCAATATTAATGCAATAAAAAGTGGACAGCTAAGACCATTACAAATTCTGAGAAATGTCTTTAAATTGTCATTTTTACTTTGTGTGGAATAATAATGTACCTCTTTGACTTATTTTTCAGCAATGGATAAAAAAGCAGATAGTAGGGAGAGATAGCCACTGGATCGGCCTTACCGACTCTGAGCATGAAAATGAGTGGAAGTGGCTGGATGGGACGCCTGTGGTCTACAAGTAAGTACTGGAGAAGCTCCCACACAGTGGTCAGGTGCTGCTCATTCCTACAACTTCTCCCTCAGTTCAGTGACCTTCTGTCTTATACCCCCTTCTCAAACCCAGAAATTTTCAGTCATAAATAAGACTAGAAATTCTTTACTATGGTACTTCTGGCCACAACGTTTTAATACTATGAGGAAGGATAATATAGCCCAGAAGCTCTCAGCCATGTTGAGTGTCACCCCAGATGTATTTCTGAGACCTGACAGATCCCTGTAGAATAACACCATTGGTATTCCTAACCCACTAGTGCGTGATTATTCACTACAGGGTTCTGATTCTCACTGGAGTTCTGCACAGTACCATCACAGAATAACTCTACTGGTCTAAAATTCTTCCTAAGTCCCATGTATCCTGTGTTGTACAAAAAGTAGCAGCAGAGAAGAAAGCATCTTGCAGTACCCGCCTCTCCACAGTCGTCTCCAGCCCCAGGCTGTCAGCTGTCCCCCTAATCCTACCGATGAGTCCAAAGATGGCTACATTCTACCAATTCAAATTTCACCTCTCCGCCGGGTGTGGTGGTGCACACCTTTAATCTCAGCACTTGGGAGGCAGAGGCAGGCAGATCTTTGTGAGTTCGAGGCCAGCCTGGTCTACATAGTGAGTACCAGGACAGCTGGGGCTACTGGGAGACCCTGTCTCAAAAAGACAAAAAAAAAAAAAATTTTCACCTCTCCTTGAAAACCTTGCCTTGCTTCTTTCTTCTCAAAGAGAAATGGAGAACTTAACAAAAATCCATCTCTGAGTGGCCTTTAATTTGCTGGAGGCAGAGAAGTCAGACCTTGCAGAGAGCATCATTTCACGGGGAGCTGGTCCACTGGAAGAGGAGGAAATGATCGTGTTTCAGATCTAAGGAAGTCTCACAGACCTTGAGGCCAGACTTATAGTAGTTGAAGAATGGCATAGGGACAGAGGTGATGGACAGAGAGGCCAGACAGACAGGCAGCTCTGTACTTTTTAAGTGTGTTTATTAGAGCAGGGTCTTACTATATAATCCGTGTTGGCCTTGAACTTGCAATCCCCACATCTTCACCATTCAAGTGCTAGGGTTGCAGGCACTGTCAACACTCCTGGCAGTTTCATATTTTTAAATCCTTCATGTGAAGAGCATGATGAGAGAGAGTAGGTAGAATCAGAAGGGCATCTCTTCAAGGAAAAATCTTTTTTTAAAAAGCAAAAACCGAAGTGGATGATTTGGAGACTTTCACCCAGACCTAAAGGTGAGGAAGTGGGCCTGTCCTAGTTTATTTCTTCATTCCTGTGACAAAATACTCTGATCACTACCAACTTGGGGAGGAAAGGGTTTATTTATCTTACATCTCCCAGGTCGCAGTTCATCAGGGAGCCCAAGGTAGGAACTCAGGGCAGGAACCTGGAGGCAGGAGCAGGAGCACAGGCCATAGAGCTGCTTACTGGCTTGCTCCCCTGGCCCCTGCTCAGCCTGCTTTCTTATGCTACACAGGCCCACCTGGCCAAGGGTGGCACCACCCACAGTGGCCTGGGCCCTCCCACATAACTCAGCAATCAAGAAAGTGCCCCATGGACATGGCCACAGGCCAGTCCAATGAAGGCAATTCCCCAATTGAGGCTCCCTCAACCCAGGTGTGTCAAGTTGACACTAAAGTTATCCAGCACAGGGCCTGTGCCCGATGGCCTGTCAGATCCTCTACTCTTTTCTGCCTGTCTCTAGGGAGACACTGGAGCTCAAGAAGATAGCAGGGATGCACTTCACCAACTCCACACAGCTGTGAATGTTGGTGTTTAAAGCAGGAGCTGCAGTGGGTTGGTGGTAAGATGGAAGGCAGAGACTAATAAAGGAAAAGACAAATCTATTTCTTTGACAGTTGAGAGAGCCAGGATATCTTTTAAGGGAGTTGAAAGAAGCTAAGAAGAAAATTCCATATTCCCCACATTTCTCACTGCCATAAATGGAAAGAAAGGTTTGAGACTGACTCACTGAGAAATTCAATCTTAAACTTTCCTTCAAGAAAAAACTGGATTGGAATATTACTGTATACGCAAGCTCTCCCAAGGGGAAGCTTTGCTCCTTTTCCCTAGGATCCATAAGAATTATGTGATTTGAGCGCCAGTGTTGGTACCTAGGCCCTAAGAAGGATTATATCACCAGACACCTTACCGGAAATTTGTCTCCAGTCACAGCCACACTTGAACCCCCTGAATGCCTGAGCTCTTGCGCCCCAGCCCCTGCACAGACTGCATGTCTCATTTTCTACCCAAAGGAATACATATACATGTAAAACTCCCCAGGATCAAATTCTAAAGCAAGAATAAATTAGGCAGACATAGTATGAGGTCTCAATAACCAAAGGCTAATTTAATTTGACATATAATAATAAACACTGCACAAACTAGAGAAAGAGCCAGTACCGTCTGGGGTACAGAGTCAAGTCAAGTGAGAGCCTTGACCTGACACCTCTGTGAATACTCAATTATACCAATCTCCATGTCCCCATGTGTAAAATGAATTTGACAAAAGTACTATGTCAGTATTTTTTCAATGAGATTTCCTACACATACAACATGGTATTCAGCATAGAGCTTGCTGCCTGGGAAATCCTTGAGGAAATATTGCCTGTAAGTATTGAGATTATTACTGTTATTATTATAATCATGATTGTTACCATGATATAATACTCCTGAGTTGCAGAATTTTATTAGGTAGAAGTTATATATTGTACAATATCTTGAGATCCACACACAGCATCCTACCCATCTTACAACGGGTTTGTGAAGAGGACAAGAATATTCCCTGTCATGACTTGGGAACGGAGCCAAGACTTCAGGGTCTTGACCAGTAGAAATCTCCTGAAATACTCCCAATACTCAGATTCCTGTTTATTTCTGAGGCCTAACATTGACCCATCCACTGCCTCTTCCCCTACCAAAAGCAGTAATTTCCAGATCCAGCAATTATAAGAGACAATTTTGAACAATTACTATGGACAGCTAAATAACCAAAAATCAAATAATGAAGAAGAAATGGAAAGCCTCATTAAACCAATAACAAAGAAGGTTAACATAGCCATCAAAAGCCTCCCAGCAAAGAGAAGCTCAGGACCAGAGGCTTCATGGCTGAGTTCTACCAAACATTCAAAGGATTACTGCCATTCCTCAACTGTTTCCCCAAACCAGAAGTCATTGGCCCTGGCACCATCCCAAGCTTTGACCAAGCCACAGAGGAATTAAGTGCACAGTTTTCCTTTTCCCCAGCACATACGCACAGTTTCTTTAAAATTATGTAAGGATTTTGCTGTTACTATAAAAAAGAAAATAGTCCAGGGATAACGGCTCCCTCCTCTGCCTCTTAGCTTTACTGTGTTAGTTGTGCTTTTACCTGGTTCAGAAGGCAGGGCTGGAATAGGCAAAAAGCAGCCATGACAGGGAAGATGCTCAGTTTAGGCACATTTAGATCTGAACTCGGGTTCATTCCCCTCAGACATACCGCGTGGGCCGTACACTGTTGCTGTGCTGAAAAAGGTCAGCACCAGCTGAGGAAAAGCTGCCCCTACAGGGAGAGGCCCCCTACAGTGGTTTGGGATGGTGCCCTGGCCAGATCCCCACATACTATAGGCCTACGCACCAAAGCAATTTCAACACAAAGACTGGAGGACAGTGTAGATTGCTGAAATTTTATATTCTGATAGAAGACAGGGTTAAAAATAATACACCTATAATCCTTTCCAAGGAAAGACAACTGGCCACCTTACACACATCATCCTTGGTATGCTTGTTTTGCCACAGTCCTGTAACAACCTCATTCTTATCCTCTGAGTGGAGACTGGGATCTATCCAGTTAACACTCATTGCATTATCGTGGGGTAGCCATGGGGAGACAGTAGCTGGAGCCTGGTTGACAGGGGTGTACTGAGAGGTAGTATCCTTATACTAACATTAAAAAGAGTGATTTCGCCGGGCGTGGTGGCACACGCCTTTAATCCCAGCACTGGGGAGGCAGAGGCAGGAGGATCTCTGTGAGTTCAAGGCCAGCCTGGTCCACATAGTGAATTCCAGGACAGCTGGAGCTACAGGGAAACCCTGTCTCAAAAAGACCAAAAAAAAAAAAAAAGTGATTTCTAGGACCATGTCATAGTGAGGGGAGCATCCCACTCCTAGATGTGGATACAGGAAAGATCAGGGCTTCAAGGGAGGTTTACTGATAGGGCAAGTAGGTAGGAAAGTCAATAGGGATATAATAGACACAACCAGCGACCTTGACAGAATTGGTATGTACAGGACATTTTGCCTAACAATTACAAATATGCTTCCAAATACACATGATAGATTCACAGAAAGTCTATAGCCATAGCACCTACATGCTTCCAATCTCATTCATTGACCAAAGAAAAAAGTTACCTAAAAAATCTGAATTTTTTTTTAATGGAAATAGAAGCCAGGCATGGTGATTCACACCTTTAATCCCAATACTTGAGAAGCAGAGGCAGGTGGATCTCTGTGAGATCAAGGCCAGCCTGGGATGGTCTACACAGTGAGTTCTAGACTAGCAGGGACTACATAGTAAGATCCTGTTTGGAAGGAGGGAGTCAAAGAGGGAGAGAGAGAATATCAAAATTTATGTGATACAGTTAAAACAAGTGTTTAGAGGGACACTAATAGCCTTAAAAGCATCACCTTTTTAATATTTTATTATTTTTATGTGTATGCCTGTATTACCTACATGTAGTGCAATGCCCAAGGAGGACAGAAGAGGCTGTCGGATCCCCTGGAACTGGAGTCACCAACAGTTGTTAGCTGCCATGTGGGTGCTGGGATTCAAACCCGGGTCTTCTGCAAGAACAGCCAGTGTTCTTAACCACTGAGCCGTCTCTCCAGCCCAAAGCATCACATTTTCTTAAACATTAAAACCCACTGACCTAAGATTCCACTTTACAAAGATAATGGAAGAAGAACAAATGAATCTCAATATAAGTAGGAGACAAATAAGACCAACCAGAAAGCAATGACATAACAACAATTAACTTGTAATTTATTGGTTTTTGAAACAGGGTTCTCCCATAGTCCTAGATGGCCTGGAAATCACTATGTAGACCAGGTTGGCCTTGATCTCACAGAGACCTGCCTGTCTCTGCCTCCCAAGTGCTGGAACTAAAGGTGTGTGTCACCACCCCCAGATAAGTTTCTATTTTTGAATAAATAAATGCAGGCATATCATTTTGCAGATTGTCACTATTAACTGAGGCTGTCTTCCTTGGGAAAATCAGATTCATACAGGAGGGACACAGGGATGAACCACACATCTGAATCTTCCCTTTTCTTTTGTTTGTTCTGTTCAAGGGACATCATTTGTTGGGATTATGATACCAAGTTCCATGTAACTGCTTTTATTTATATATCACAAAGATAAAACAGGCTGACTTTGTGTTAACCACATTACTCCATATAGTTTTACAAAATATATTGCCATGGAACAGTGGGGACCAGAAGGAACTCTCCAGTTTCCTTTAACAACAACCCATGATAGTTCACACTTTGTATTCCTACCAGGGTGGCACTGGCCCAGGCCACAGGATAAGAATCTTCTATGAGGGTCTAGTGGGAGAACATTTTATTGGCAAAGAAACATTCCTCATCAGTAACATTTTCCTCTTTGGAAGTCAGGCCCTTACCAGCAGACGTTTCTTGGCATGTAGCCTTAGTTAATCTTGTGGTTGATGAAAAAATATTAAGTTGTGAGGTTGGAAGGAGTTAGTCCCAAGATTGAGACTATGTCATTAAGATGACTTCCCCCTGCCCCCAATCGTGGAGTACTCCATTCCCAATATCTCACATTTGTGAGTTTCCAAGTCATAAGAGCTATCAAGTGTTTCCAAGATTCCTGAGGCACTTAGAAGTATATATGTTGCTATGTGTATTGTAACATGGGACTTCAGGCCAAGGTCAAGCTAGTCCTTCCAGAATTTACCTACAAATGAAGTTAAGGCATTGTTTAAGCTGACATTCTTCTCCAGAATACTATATACACATTCTGTTTCGCTGACATCTTCTAAGCATGCAGACTGTAAGTTACCATAAATTCCATGGGATGTTAGTTTTCCCAGAGATGCTTTGAGACCCCAAGTTCCTACTCTATAGGCCTTATTCCCAGCATGCTGGCTACCTCAGTCATCTTGCCTCCACAGAACCATGTGCTGCCTTTAGTCCTAAGGAAAACCTGGAGCACTGTATGTAAAGATTTCTAATGATCTGGAAAACCCATTTGAGAAAGGTTATCTTCCTGTTTGATCAGAAAGTTCTTTTCCACTCAGCTTAAAATGATGTGATATGGGGTGCGCAGGGATCCCGGGGCGCCAGCTGCTAGCGTGGCGCCGGTCCCCTGCGCGCACCTGGAAGGCGGCGGGTCCCACAGCGCGTCTGCTCTGCGTTGCTGGCGGGTCCCTGCTTCTCCGCTACTTCTCCGTTGTGGGTCCCTCTGCTTCCGGGGCTGGCCCGGTAGAGTTCTGCCCTAATTTCACCCATGCACTTCCTCGAGATGCGAAATCCACTGGCTGCTGGATCACGTGGGAAGGTGCGGGGCGGCTAAAGCTGGGTTTCCGTGAGTCGATGATGGAAGGATAGCGCCCCCCGGGAAGACTGGATCATAGGCAGTAAGACATGGGACTCAGCTTAGTCCGTATTACAGCTCTTTATTCAGTGACTCAGCTCAGCTCCAAGTCTTGGTGATCCAGCTCCAATTATTGAGGAAAAACCAGGACACTTACCTTGGGGGTAGTGGTAAAAGCTTTAGCTGATAGGTACTTTTGAGATACCCCATCTACATATGGAAGTGGGCTCCTGCCAGACTGCCAGACTGCCAGACTGCCTGAAAATCACACAGGAAAACCTGGCATTTCCAGAGCCGGAGGCCATGTTTCTGTGGCAGCTACTTCAAAAGATGAGTCAGGAAGATGCCAGGAAAGCACCCTGCTGAAAAAGGAGTCTCTGCATTTGAGCCGAGCCCATGGGCTATCCGGTCATGAAGAGACTACTACTTTATACAACAAGGTCCCCAACAATGTAAGATAAATTGCAAAGGAATAATAAGTCCTCTAAATCCAAAGAAGTGATATACATATATGTAGGTATACATGTGTGTACATATTTCTGTATACATACATGCAGTTTTTTCCAGTCAAATGAGAAATCAAAGAAATTAAATACATCATTATACATTCAGGAATCATAGATCTCAAATTCTGTAAATAAAATCTGAACCAGTTCTACTCAGTGCTCGAAGAGATGAACAAAATGGGTGTTAACAAGGTCCAACTACTTGGGCATCACTGACCTTTGCAGAGATGGCCTGCAGGGTAGACAGGACCATAGAGGAAAGCATCCTTTAATGTATGCTGCTTTTCCTCACACTCCATCCTTCTTGGCATTACTTACAGTGTGAGTCTAAAATCATCCTTCTAGTCTTTTTTGTAAATTCCTTAAGGGGCTTTGATCTCTGCTCTGCTGAGTTGCCATCACCTGAAACTGTACCTGGCTCATAGTTTCTCTGTATTAGTGAGTGGTATCTTCCAGTTCTCACTTATAGCCATCACTGAATTGTTTCCTCTAAATTATCTTTTCATCATTAGCTTTAACTGAGATCACTATTTTTTTTAGCCCCAATATACATTTGGGATTAGTTGGGAGTATTTATTCTACCTTGCTGTCCTACCAGTTACTATAAATTTCACCTCTTCTCTCCCAATACCTTATGGTTTTACTGGTCTTATTGATAAAAGATGGAAGGCAATATGAGTTTTCTCCCCACCCCACCCCCACCCCCTCATGTGACCCTAAGGTACCGTGTGGCTGAAGCACTGAGTCATCATCATTGGAAGTATCTCCTGCTACAAATGTTTTCTGCTACCCTTTCCTGGAGGCTAGCTTCTTTCCTCAAGCAGAAACCACAAGCTTCTGCACATGAACTTGCATCTTAAAAAGGAACCTTTTGGAATGGAGTCTGGAATCATACCTAATAGTTTATGTGGAAACAGAATCAAGAATTATGAACTCTGGAGAAATGCTCCTTTGAGCCACAGCATCGAAGTTAACAGGCCTGAGTAGGTTCATCCTAAAGAAAACTTGTTTTTGCTGGGTCTGGTGGCACAAGCTTATATTCTCAGCTACGCAGGAGGCACAGGCAGGATGATCACAAGTTTAAGTCCAGCATGGACCAAAGAATGAATTCAAAGCCAGCCTGGGCACCTTAGTGAGACTTTGTCTCAAAATAAAGAGGGCTTGGGATGGATGTAGGTCAGTGGTATAACATTTGCCTAACATGCACAGATCCCAACATTCAATCCCCAAAGCCACCCCCAAAAGACTCACAAAATTTGTTTTTAAGAATCCTCTTTGCTAGGCTGACAAGATAGTTTAGCAGGTAAAGGCACTGGCCTTTAAGACTGACGATCTGAGTGTGATTACCAAGAGCCACATGGTGGAAGGGGAGACACCCTAAATCTCAAATTACCCTTGATCCCCATATGAGTGCAATAGCGTGTATGCACCCACACAAGTAAGGTAGTAAAATATATGAGTCATTTGCAGTAAGATGAAAACACTCTTTCTGAAGCTATCAGCCACCTACAACACAGCCAGAGAGCCACAACTGGTTGTAATTGTAGGTTCTTGTGTGCATCAGGCGACGCTCACTTTCTTACCCTTTCACATGTTAAAGACAAAACACCAGGCATCCAAAGATTCCTGTGTGTTTTCACAAGAGCACACATGCACATATATTTGTAGGGGATGTCCCAATAGTTTGTACATTATCCACACATACATATGACCAGAGGACAGCATTTCAAGACTCAAAAAAACCATTCATCCAACTATCTAAAGGATTCTTGCCCTTAGCATGTGATGGTGAGGCTCATTGGGCTGATTTCTTTATGGCAAAGATAACAAACCTGTAAGAAGCTGCCTTATCTATTACTCTGCAAAACAGCTAAATGAGAGTGCGCTCCTTTTTTTAAATAACACAATTTCGCTTTTCACTACAGGACAAATGCCTTAGTTTTGTTGTTTGCTTTACATTCCTCTGCTGCTTGTAAGTAAAAAAGCTTCTGCCTTACTGTGCAGATAACACTCACTTTCTGTTTGGTTAAAAGAAATTGGAAAGCTGGACAGCCAGATAACTGGGGCCATGGCCATGGGCCAGGAGAAGACTGTGCTGGGTTGATTTATGCTGGGCAGTGGAACGACTTCCAGTGTGAAGAAATCAATAACTTCATTTGCGAGAAAAACAGGGAGACAGGTAAGCAGCAACGGGGCTTAAGAGAAAGCGAGAGGGGCAATGAGAAAGGCCTAAACACAGGCTCTGAAGTTTGAGGTTCCAACCCTGTGTCTACTGGTTCATAGCATGGCAGGTTGTCAACCTCAGGGAAATAAAAATAGCATCATCCAAGCTGTAGAGATGGCTCAGTGATTAAGAGCACAGGCTGCTCTTGCAGAGGACCCAGGTTCAATTCCCAGCACCTACATGGTGGCTAACAACCATCCGTAACTCCAGTTTCAGTGGATCTGAGCTGTCTTCTGACCTCTGTGGGCATTGCATGACATGGGTACATTTACATATATGCAGGCAATATACTCATACATAAAAAATAGCATCTTCACAGGGTTGTTGTGAGAACTTTTAGATAAGTTAATAAATATACCTAACATTTAGGAAGTACTTGAAAAATGTTATACTTCAAGACTCAGGTCAATAACTTATAATACTGTCATTTAACTGTTTTTTAGTTGGTTGGGTTTTTGTTTTTCTAGAAACAGTCTCACTATGTAGCCCTGGCTGACCTGGAACTTAGTATGCAGACCAGGCTGGCCCCAACCTCAGAGATTTGCCTGCCTCTGCCTCCCCAGTGCTGGGACTAAAGGTGTGCATCACCATGCCTGTCTTAACTGTTCTTTGAGATAAGGCATCAATGTGCTGGCTTTAGGGAGTATGCACATTTGCATCCAGCCAATTCAACTGAGCTGCCAGTCTGCATGTACTTACTGAACAGTTACAAGCCGGGTGTGGTGCTAGATAACTGAGGACTGTACTCTGCATCTCTTAAAAACATATATGTCAAATAGGCCTTTAGAGAGCTTGACTTCAAAAGATGCTGACATAAAGCTTCATTTACTATTTGAGATAATGGCAGTCTTTAGGACTATACATAAATCCCAGTGAACTAAATGTTTTACATGGGCAATCTGCATGATTTTGTGAATTAGATTTCAATGAAGATATTTTTGCTAGTGGTAAAGAGAAGCCTTAAATATATGTTGCTCACATTATTTTTGGAAGGAACTGGGGCACAAGTTATTCACATACACATTAAAGACATTTACCAAGTGCTTTTTTGGTCTAAATGCTAGCAATCTTAAAACATAGGAACACATGTTCTGGTTAGTTGAAGGAAGAAGTGTGGACATGTAAACAGGGATGACAGCTCATGGAGTTGACCAGAAACTAGGATTCCCCAGAATAAGCCCTTACAAATGGAACTTAAATCCAGGTATGGTGGCACATGCCTTTAATCCCAGCACTCGGGAGGCAGAGGCTGGCAGATCTCTGTGAGATCAGGCCAGCCTGGTCTACATAGCAAGTTCCAGGCCAGCTGGGGCTAAAGGGAGACCTTGTCTCAAACAAAAAACAACAAAAAATGGAATTTAGCTTTTACTTAATCTGAAGAAAAGCTGGCAGACATTTCTTTGAAGAAGCATTGTTGGGGCTGGACCTGGCTCAGCGGTTAAGAGCACTGGCTGTTCTTGCTGAGGATCTGGCTTCAGTCCCAGCACTCACAAGGAGGCTTACAACCATCTGTAACTCCAGTTCCAGTGGATCCGACACCACTGGCCCCCGTGGGTATTGCATGACACAGGTACACATACATGTAGGCAAAACACTCATATAGATAATAAAAATAAAAATATTTAAAAGAAGGCCGGGCGTGGTGGTGCACACCTTTAATCCCAGCACTTGGGAGGCAGAGGCAGGCGGATCTCTGTGAGTTCAAGGCCAGCCTAGTCTACATAGCGAGTCAGGTCAGCTGAGGCTACAGGAAGACCCTGTCTCAAAAAGAACCCCCCCAAAAAATATTCAAAAAAAAAATAAGCATTGTTGAATGATATAACTCATGTCCATCTTTCTTTCTTCCAGTGCTGTCATCCACATTATAACAGACTATGATGCAATAACAAGAACATATTTTTGGGCGGCTCTCAAAGGCAAAAGACACTTCTTTCCAATTTCATCACTGTGTCACCTGATTGGGTGAGAAGAAGCACTGAATACCAGTTACTGGGGGCAAAAAAAAAAAAAGGACAGCTACTTTACCATTACTCAAGGACTTGGGAACTAAAATGTTCCCTTGGTTGATATATTGATTTTCAGAGAGCAAATGGACTGAATCACATAGATTTATCAGCCAATAACCATACAGTTATACAAATTTTATCTTCCAAAATATGGAATGCTCCAATCAGAAAAAGACTACCGTTGGTTGTTGAGCTAGAGGAAGAACTTAAAACATTCACTGTGTAAACAGTACCTTTACATTTCTAAATCCCAAATGTAGGGAAAATATGCAAACATACAGATATATAGGCCAACTTTTAGTAATAATGAAATGTACTTTAAGAGCTTTTAAAACATTGTATTTTTGTACAAAATATTTGCTTTTTACAGTTATGTTCCTTTTTCCCCCATTTTACTAATATAATACATGAAGCCAAAGAAAACAATAATGGTACTAATAAAATTTCATGGGGTTTCTCTTCAGATTTAAACTACCAGTGGCAACAAATTTTTTTCACTTGTGGTTTTAAAACTAATTGTGTGTGTGTGTGTGTGTGTGTGTGTGTGTGTGTGTGTGTGTGAATCATTTCCTCAGAGGAGTGAATCACCTGAGGCATTCAGAAATACCCTTGTACATTTTGCTGGAGATCAAGCACATCATGTCTCATTCAAGACATAAGAGCCACCACCCTTGACGTAAGAGGAAGTGTCAACTCAGAATCTGCTTTTGTTTACTTTGATAGAGGAGCGATGAAGAGACATCTGCTGGAAAAAAACAGAGCTCTTCAATCAGAGTCGCTGAGAGTCCCTGTTTTAGGGATGCTGTGTGAATAGGATTGTTATCAGACCCACACCAGAGCTGACAGGACTTTATAATGTATCAGCCAAAGGCAGCAATGCTAGAAAGATGGGAACCAGTTATATGCTACTTGGAAAGTTTGTTTTTCTTAAGTTAGGTTCCCAAAACATAGCTCTAAGGAACATGCAAGATGAGGCAGAGGCAGGCAGATCTCTCTGAGTTCAAGGCCAGCCTGGTCTACATAGTGAGTTCCAGACCAGCTGGGGCTACAGGGAGACCCTGTCTCAAAAAAAAAAAAAAGATTGTCATTGAGGAGTCTGTTGTGAAAGTGCTTGAATGAGGCACTGAGGATAACTGAGTAAGTTATATATTCCATCCAACCAGTCCCCTTCTCATCTAAGGATCTTTCCAGACAGTGCTGTTACCAAACCAATGTAAAACGCTACAAAACAGAATGTGACTTCACCCATGAACTATGGTGCATGCCTGTTGTTGGATAAGCATGTCCTCTGAGGGAACTAGAGACAGTCACCCCTCCCACCCAGTCGGTCAGCTTCAACTGCATGAGGGGGAAGGTCTAAGGACAGACACTGAGGAAGCTGGGAAGCAGCAAGTAGTCACCATCTTGGTGGCTCACTGGTGGGGCACAGTGCTGGTACAGATCTCAAAAGCTTAGCCGAGATGTAGAGACAGGGCCCATGGGCATTCATGCCTTTGTAAGTAATCCTCTCCGGGAAGTCATAAACTACACAAAAACCCAAAAAGAATGTATTGTGTTGGTTTTTTGTCCGTAGGGTATAGGGACTGCGTGGCCCTGGGATCCCAGCGTGCAGGTCTCCTGGGGGAATGGGAATTTGGTGCAACACCTGTGATCATACTATTTTCACAGCTTGGGAACAGCCATCCTTAGTACATTTACACCCTGTTTTCCTCTCTGTGTGACCCGGACAAGCTGCCAGGTGCTAATGTTGTCTGAGCCTAAATTGCTGGCTGGAGGGATGGGTCAGTGGTTAAGAGCACTCACTGCTAAGGACCTGAGTTCCTAAAACCCACATTGGGTGGCTCATAATTGCTTGTAACTCCAGCTCCACAAGATCCAGTGCCCTCTTCTGGCCTCTGAAGGCACCTACATCCACATGCACATCTGTACATATTCACATACATACATACATACACATGAATGAATCAACTGATGGCTGCTGGGAAGGAGGGAGTCAGTCTCTCTCAAGGATGTGACTTTTGGTAGGTTGACCAGGCTCCAGTGGATGGACCCACACTGAAGGGCATTTGGAGACACAAATTAAGACTCTGTAGGCCTTTATTTTATATACATACACACACGTATATAATGTATAAATAATAGAGTACATTACATTGTATCAGGAGGTACAGATAGGGAAGGGGATCTAAATACCATCAAATTCTGTTTATGAAAATCACAAAAATTCAATTAATTTTTTTAAAAAGGCTGTCTACAGGGGCAGGGGATGTAGCTCAGTAGCTCAGTGGTAGATCACCTACACAAGCACTGAAGGGGAAAAAAAATTGTCAACGAGAAAGTTGGAATTAACTATCAGATATCATTAAGATAGCTAGTGCTGGGGCTGGAGAGATGGCTCAGTAGTTAAGCACACTGGCTGTTCTTGCAGAGGAGCCGGGTTCAATTCCCAGCCTCTGTAACTGCAGTTCCAAGGAAATTTGATGCTTTCTTCTGGCTTCCTCAGGCACTGCATGAAACGGGTGCACTTACATGAAGGCAATACACTCATACTCATTTTTAAAAAAAGACAGCTAGTGCCAGCGTCCACCAAGGAGGTTGTCCTTTCTCAGCCCTAATAACTTCCCAAGTGTGTATTGCTTGTCAGGCCCTGTGCCAAGTGCTTTGATCTGGCCATCTCACCTAATCCTCCCATCAACTCTGTGAAGCAAACCTACTGCATTCCCCACTTTACTGGAACAGGGACTCACTCAAGGTCATGTGATATCCTGGATCACACACCATCACTATGTGAAGACAGGCTTTGAAAATGTTCTCATTTCTTTAGGAAATGTTACATACTGGATAAAATCAGATGAATATATTATGAGATACCTCATGTCCATCTCTGTATGTAGCTATTTATCAGGTTCCTGATTCCTTTAATGACAATTAGGTTCTTTTGGAAAGGAGAGTCTTCAGGCACCTAACTTGCTATGTATTAAGGGCAGATGGAAAATATTTTTCTCTAAATGGCTCTTGGAAGAAGGGAGGCATGAGGCTTCCCACCCATCCTTCTTATTTGTAGCATTTAGAATTCAAGCTGAAGCAAGCAACCAATGGTGATAGCTGCTCCCACGAGGAACAAGAGGTGCTGGAGAAGTGGACAGTGTAGAAACCAGGTAATGGTGCCAAGCACATAGATTTTCCTCTGATGACTGACTGTGAGAATGTATTTCTCATTCGTGACTCAAAGCAGTATGATAGTAATACTGCTATAACCACAATAACTGACAAATGGGATTGCATGAAATTAAAAGGCAACAAAGGACACTCTGACAGAGAGAAAAGACACGCAGAATGGGAGAACAATCTTTGCCAGCCATACTTCAGACAAGGGCATAAAATATAGAATATCTTAAAGGAAAACTGCAAAAGTTTAATGCAAAAAAGATCTTTGAATCAGTAAGTGGACTGATGAACTGAACTGAACTGAACAGATAGTTCTCAAAAGAAACACATTATTAACAAACATATTTCAGTGTTCAGCACCTCAGCCATCAGGAAAATGCAAATCAAAACTACTAGGGGATTTCACTCCAATCAGAATGGCTACCATCAAGAAAACAGATGATACTGGGCATGGTGGTGCACATCTTTAGTCCCAGCACTCAGGAGGGAGAGGCAGGCAGATCTCTGAGAGTAGGTCAGCCTCGTCTACATAGACTCTCTCTCAAAAATAAATTAAATAAATAAATAAATAATAACAAATGCTGGTGAGGATGTGGGGAAAGGAGAACTGTCATTCCCTGCTAGTGGGAGTATAAGCTGGAGCAGCCACCATGGAAATCGGTAATGTATGACCCAGCCATACTTTTCCTTGGTGTATACCCCAAATACCCTGAGTCCTATCAAGAGATAATGAAACGTCTATGTTTATTGCTGTACTATTCACAATAGCTAAGAATCAGCCTAGATGTCCATCAACAGATGAATGGATAAAGAAAATGCGAATATACACAAATTTAAATAAAAATAAAATAATGTCTACAGAAAAATGGAAGGAACTGGAAGTTATTATGTTAAACAAAATATCCAGACTCTTGGGCATGGTGGCTCACGCCTTTAATCCCAGCACTTGGGAGGCAGAGGCAGGTGGATCTCTGGGAGTTCAAGGCCAGTCTGGTCTACATAGTGAGTTCCAGGCCAGCTGGGACTACTGGGAGACTCTGTCTCAAAAAAGACCCAAAAAAAAAAAAATCCAGACTCATAAATCCAACATCACAAGTTTTCTTTCATATGCTCTATTGGTTACTTGTTGCTATGATCAAATACCTGACAAAAGCAATTTAATGGAGGAAAGGTTTATTTTGGCTTATAGTTTTAGGCTACAGTTCATCATGGAGAGTAAGGTATGGCAGCAGGAGTGTGAGACAGCTGGTCACAATGTATCTGCAGCCAGGAAGCAGAGAGCAGACAGGAAGTGAGACTATAAAAACCTCAAGACTCAGGGATGGAGAGATGGCTCAGTGGTTAAGAACACTGTTCTTACAAAAGACCCAAGTTTGAATCCCAGCACCCACATGGCAGCTAACAACTGTCCATAACTCTAGTTCCAGGGGATCCAACAGCCTCATCTGTCCTCCGGAAGGCATTGCACAACATAGGTGCACTTACCTACATGCAGGCAATACACACACACACACATACACACACACACACATAAAATAAAAATAATAAAATATAAAGTTAAAAAAATAATAACCTCAAGACTCACCCTCAGGGACTTTTTCTTCCTCTAGTGAGGCAAAAAAAAGAAAGCGGGGGGTGGGGGTGGGTGGTGGGGGAAAGGGTCTTAAAGGAAAGTTGAGAGAGAAAAAAAGGATAATAGAATATATGCCATGAAGCAGAAGGGGAGCTACTGAGAGAAAGGGGCAGGAGGGGGGAGGGTGGGAGAGGACCAATAAAAACAGTATTATGAAAATACCATAGTGAAACCATTATTAAACACTAGTAAAGATTTTAAAATACTAAAATATAAAACAAGCCGGGCGTGGTGGTGCACGCCTTTAATCCCAGCACTTGGGAGGCAGAGGCAGGCGGATCTTTGTGAGTTCAAGGCCAGCCTGGTCTACATAGTGAGTTCCAGGACAGCTGGGGCTACAAGAAGACCCTGTCTCAAAAAGACAAAAAAAAATTTATAGATAGATAGATAGATAGATAGATAGATATATAGATAGATAGATAGATAATAGATAGATAGATGATAGATAGATATATGTATGTATATATATATATAAAACAAAAGGGCACATCCCTCTTGCACATGCATATTAACTCTCCTAATCATGCAAACCTGTTTCCCCTTCTTTAAACATGAGGAAATAAGATTCAGTTAAAGACTTGCCCACCAAGCAATCCTTACCACAATCCCTTTCAAAAATGCAGAGCCAATCAAGTTCTCTATTCTTAAGTCCCCAAACACAAGTTCATCTATC